TTTCCAAAAGTCCTTGGTGCTTCTCCAAGCCTCTAAGGGGCATGATGAAGTTTCTACAAAGTTTTTATAAGGAGCAAAAGAATTTGGCAATTACCTTATAATTGGGGTGACAGTAAAGGTTTAAACTAAGATGATGCCTGCTTATCCACTTTGACACCACCCACTTTGTTAGCTGCTGTTAGAAGGATACAATATCAAGACACCAGCCCACAATTGTGCACTGCAGTGCTACATACCTTCATATGTATACATTTGGCTGTGCCTTCTTGCCTAGGTAAAACGATTTGAAACATTTTAATTAGGCATGTGTTGAAGAGGCTCCCTTACAGATTGAGTAACTAAATCTCCATGGCCTCTGAACAGAATGTCTTTGACTATTTGAAGAAATTAAGAAGCCTTTTTTTCTTATAGAAGACTAACTTCTACACTTAATTGGACTTATAAATGAAGAATATTTGATGGAGAAGGTGAAATAATTGCACCAGGAAGAGTAAACTCCAGGAAGGGAGAAGAGCTTTTTAATAGCTAAAGACAGTCTTTGCATAAGAATGAATGCGTGTAAAATGGCCATGGTTAAATTCAGGGAGGAAATCAGAATTAGGTTTCTAACCATCAGAAAGGCAAGGTTCTGAAGTAGTGATGGGGGCAAACAACCTAACTATTTTTAAGACAGAGCTAGACAAGTTTATTAATTGGATCATATGATGTCATGAGGGACAAGACCTTGTGACCCAGGAGATCTCTTCCAGTCTTATGTTCTATAACAGGAACTTGGGGATTTATGTGGAATTCTGAAAGGTTATAATCCCACCATACTTCCTACATTTTTACACAAAGATCACTATAATCATCCCAGATTGTGAGGATGATTATAGTGGCATAAATCGAGAAATTCACAAGTTTCATGAAACCATTTCTTCTAGATTTGCACTGATCTACCTGGGATTGGAGCCTCACTTTCAGCATTTATTTTACAGGCTGCAAAAGGCATCTGGGAATCTGCCTGATTATTCAGTTTTTATTGGAAACAGAGCTTGCAGGAGAGTTCCCTGCAGTAACATCACTATTACTAACTCATAGTGTTTGCTGTATTTTATAAAGCATGCTGGGCCAGGCTGTCAGCTGAAGTAAAGCCATATGTCTCAATGGGCTTTACAAAATTATACCAGTGATGGATCTGGCCAAGAATGTCTTGTTTTCTCTACTCAGTTCTTGAGATCCAAGCTGCCCTCTCAGTTGTACAGTCTTGCATATATTTTCCAATAAATTAGTGATGTGAAGAGGATAAAGGTACAGGTACTTGGTTTCTTAAAAATCATAGTTTCATAGTTAGTAGGGTTGGAAGGGACCTGAG